GCAAGCAATAAACTTCACAGCCTATACGGCAGTGGTGCTCCGTCTGGCGTTTATACTTTGCTTCAGTTTTGATTGGATGGTTTCATGCTACAGGGCATCCCGCCGGCTGCCACGGTTTCTGTTGCATGAACGGTTTATCCCGAACGACGTGACGATCCAAGCAGGCAGCACGCAGCCTCCTACTCTCCTTACGGAAGCCGACCTCATCGACAAGATGGATAAGGTGCGCATCCCACGTAATTGGGCCGCATGCAGTTGCACTGTACGTTCGTTTTGCATGCCATTTGCGAAAAGGCTTTGGCGTGCATTGCGTCTGTGAAACGTTGCTCTGCAGCACGGGATTGGTACGGACGCGACAATGCACGAGCACATACGTACCATTCAGGTATAGTGCATATCTGAAGTTCACAGTTGCCCTGACTCTTCGTGAAATTATTTGGACGCTTTCGTAGAGTGCTAAAGCGCTAATCAAGAAGTCTGCATTCTATCCGCTGGCCGAAATGTTCCCAGGAACGGAATTATGCTGTTAAGACGGAGTCTCAGCAATTTAAGCCTACAGACCTCGGTGTCGCTTTGGTCAAGGTACGGCGCACCCGTGGTAGAGTGTCGAAGTACTGGGCCGTTGCAGCGAAGATAAAATTACCGTCTGCTTAGTGTTTCAAAGGAATGCCTTTCTCAGACCAGGCTGCGCTTTACTTCAGGGCTATAAACTTGTCGGCCGTATCTGCAACGCAGATCTATCGCGGGTGAGACATTTTGTGTCTCCTGCTGAGTCGTTCGATCAGTAGCCAAAGCCTCATCTGGAGGGGCACGCCAGCCTGAGGAATATTTTCTTCTGCACCCCAATCTAAATACATGTGTGTACATTAACTGCGGTTCTTGTCCCTTTAGCCTGATTTGAGAGCCAGCATGGAAAGGGACATGACGCTGATAGCTCGAGGAGCCGAGCGGAAGGTGAGATTGGATTCAGTTTTGATGTTTTTATAGCTCGCATTACATGTATCGCCGACGGATCCAGTGTCGTGGCTGCTGAAAGTTTTGGGGATTTGTGTATCTGTGCATGTGGCATCTCGTTGTACCTGCAGGAGGATGTTATCCAGAGGCATGTGGGCACAGTGGCGGAAGTTTTTCGGCTGTTGCGTGTTCATATCGCGTTGCTAGATGACCAGCTCCAGCGCATTTTCCCACCATTGGCTGCTTCAGATGCCGATTGCCGCCTGCTCCAGCGCAGCTTTTGCACTTGTGCGAAGTGTGGTAGCTCAATGGACCTTATGGTAAAAGCCATTGAATCACGACAGCGCTCTGCTGGCTCTCCCATTGCTCACAGAAAGCACGTAGCAGTACCACTGAGTGCTGCTTCAGTCTTCCGGTTGAAGAACACCGTAGCATCTGCCTCGTAGATGCCTTCTGGACTATCGAATGCCGTGAATGGAGCTGTTTTACTCCGCAGGACAGCGGGAGTGAAGCACAGATTACTGGCTCGAGGTACGACTCGCGGGAAGCCCGCTCGCAGTGAGGGGCACAGATTCAGAGCCTGTCTCCTGTTGAGGTCATTTCTCCAAGAACTGCCGTGCATCGCTGCTCTTTCTTCAGGCGCGGGAGGAATGCTGGCAGCCGCGGATCTGCTGATACGAGTGGAGGTGCGTTCGCACCCAGGTTAAATCTTGCCGTGTTCTAGAGTAGAGTTGCTGAACTGATATTTGTGCTGTATTCATTTGCCCCGCTGCTGATTTATGATGTGATTCCTTCCGTTGCAGAACACGGAACAAGTCGCTTCCTGGTGAGTAGTACCCAAACAGCAAGATGATGGCACACCTTTTCGAGTTCAAACTGGTTCAGGCTCGCTTCCCTCTGTCGGCTAGCACCACCATCCTACTCTGAATTGCTTGTCGACGAAATACGTAAAACTTCTGCGTTCATCTTCCGCATCAGGCATGTACCAATCGCTCTACCTGCAATATTGTCCTGAGAATGCCTAACCGCGGGGTGTTGTCTCTAACGCAACACGTGTGCCCTTACTGCACATTCAAGGTGAGTAGTGGTCTTGCAGTATAGGGACTATATTTCCACTTCTACTTGAAAAATTTTCGTCAGCACTCGGCATAAGAATTGTGGACGTGTGCGGCTTCCCGACAGGTTATGAACGTAGAAAACGTGCAGACTCGAAAGTCGCACAACGTCTGTCCATTTTGTTTTCTGATGCCTCCAGTAAGTTTTGCAGATTCGAAGTATATTTGTTCCCTCATGGACAATGGCGTACAGTCGAGATGCTTCAGCAGCTAACCGCGCTATAGCTATATATATATATATATATATATATATATATATATATATATATATATATATATATATATATATATATATATATGAGCAGAGTGAACCTCTGATTGGTATCCCCCATATGTGGATGCCTGTTTATTTGCAGCCACAAGAAGCAGCAAACGCACCCAATGGGGAGCTGCGATGTTTCTCTTGCTGCCATCCAGTGAGTCGCCACTCCTTATTTGCGGGGATATTCCTACCATCGTTGCATCTTTGTAGAGTACCTGGCAGAGGCAGTACGGGATTCTGATAGGAAACAGACCCGTTTTTGTTCTTCTGCGTTTCTCTGTCCTACGAAGAGCTGCCGCCTTGCTCGTGGCCACAACTCGGGAGGGAGGCATAAAAGTGATATTGCGCATCTAGCCATGAGGACCAGCTAACGAGCTGCATCCAACCTTTACAGCATGCATTTCAAGGAAGGTAAGAAGCGACACACTCGACATTTGTAACCGCACGCTGGTCATTTCTCTATACACTTGAGGGTTCGCTATGAGAATGAGAGTTCTGCTCCCATAGATATGCCAACGGGCGCCATTTAGTTGGACCGTTGATTTTTGCAGTTTTTCGCTGACCTGAAACTTCAGGCCCTCAGGTCTTTGTAATAAATTTTTTAGAGAGGGAAAGACAGGTTTCGGCCCTATGGTCACGAACTTTTTCTTGTGCCCTTTGTACTTATACCAGTTGGCCTTGTGGGATCGTTTTGTTGCGCCTGCATGAAACCCCCTAACGCCAAGCTACGATCAAAATTTAGAGTAGTGCAACAAGCCTGTTGATTTCTATACTGCGACGCCTTTACTTTTGGAGCATTTGCAGCGGACAACATGAAGTACTGCCACGGTTTCCAGCGGCACCCAGTTGCTTGCAAGCGCAGTGACGGCCCGCGGAACAGTTCAACCAAGGGTAGATGCGAGTCCGACTTAGTCAAGTGTTGAATCCTCGTACTTGTTTTCATGCTACGTTTTCTGGCTCCACCTCTAGTTTCACCTCCGTCACGTCAGCGAATGTCTATAGGTAATGTATCTCTACACAGGGAAAAAAATTGAGCCATTGGAAAGCCAAAGAACTTAATCCGAATTCATCTATTTTTGTCCCTCCAATGATCATAGTGGCTTTAAACGATACGCAGTTTATGGCTTGACTTCTCGGAGGATGAACTCAGGCAGCCCGTTTGACAATACTACGTCAAAAACGAAGGGACCAATGCGCACATTATACCCAGGGTCCCCTCTTTTTCCGTTGAATGTGATGCTCATGTCTCTTGCTTCAAGGGCAAGAGCCGTCGTTGGGTAATTTGTTTCGTCAAACCCTCCGCCAAATACCAAGCGGCCGGTCTGTGGCGTTTTGGCTGTCAGCCTCCCCGAATATGCATGATCTTTATCATCTGCTAGATCGGTCTCTAGCAGAATTGAATACGGTCCGACTTCATCTGAGGCAGAGCAAGCTTGCGTTATCTCATGTTGTTGACGACAAAGAAGCATTAAGCTCACGTTTCACGATGTTGATTCTGTCGTCAAAATCACGTGTGACTCCAATAACGAAGTCGTTATTTCCGAACTCGGCGCCGTGTCGCTTTCCTTCAGGGTGCGTGTCGAACTTTATTCTCGTGTTTTGATATGATGCTACGATGGATCCTGGGCCTGCCGAAGTACTTATCCTTGCTTGAGGCATTGGCGGTGCTCCGAATACGATATCATTCGGGTTGGTGGGGGAGAGGCCAGTGTCCACCACAGGAGGCCCTGGGGCATTTGTGCCTTCTTTGCTGTTGTTGCTTCCGTGTATCTGTGAAGTGATGCAAAACAATCGCGTCAACAATTGCAGCGTATTGGCCCACCGTAACTGCATAGGAGCCGTGAGACACTCCGACAGTCGCTCCAGAGTGCAGAATTTTGTCGCAAGCCACGGTCACCTCCGAATCACCGAAAGAGAACTTCACAGTGCGCTGGTGGGTCGTGTTGTAGCCGAAATCTATGGGAAAATCTCCTCTCCTGTCTTCAGGAGGGGTTGCAGCGGACAGCCCAGGCAAGGCCATTCCCATTACATCATTCATTACGTCCTGCACTATGATCGTGAGAGCTGTTTTTGCATCGACGATCCAGTGTGGAACGTCTGTCTACGCTCAACGATTTCTGGTAATGAAAGTTGAGTGATTGATCAGAAGATTCTGCTTCTTACCTTCACGTACAACGCTCCATTGCTTCCCTCCTGGAGGGAATATCCAGTGGCCGGGAATGCCGCTGGATTCTTGTGCAGTGTGTCTACTGCAATTTTTGTTTGTGAAATAAGCCACAGGTCCGTCTGATGCTGTATATTATGCGCCTCTTCATGAATTAGCTCCTGAATCAGTCCAGCCATGTTCTGCAGCATCTCATCGCCGACGTGTGACTTTTTCAACGCTACTGCATTCGCNCTTAGGAAAGAAACTCCGTCAAACGGATCCGCACCGTCAGCCGGAAGTGCGAACAAACCCTCATATTGAAGGTTCTCCGTCGAAGAAGGTGAATCAGTCTCTGTCTGTGGAGGATCAGTTCTTTCTAATTCACTGGCGATCGTCAACAGACTCCTGGTGCGGTCGAAACGATCTGGCACCAAGCCAAACCAGCAGAGTACCAGCGCCACAGACTTCAACGCGTTCGGCGCAGAGATACGCATTCCCAGGCCGGCTGTGTTGTGTTGCACTGGCTGCCGCTACGAAAAGTTTTAGCCTGTCTTCCTCTACCCTCACGCGTGTAGTGAGATTGAAGGGGCTCAGTACATGTGCAAGTGGGATTCGAGGGGTCTGATGTCTCCAGACGTTGTCCAATCATTTAAAGGAGTCAGTTGTCCATCCGATAAAGCGGCTTTAGGCAACAAGGGCCTGGCTTGGAACACCAGTCAAGGAGTAGTGTGGCTGGCGTAGCCGGCTTCAGTGCTGCGTGCGAACCGCCAGCAAGCTTGATATTCATCCAGAGTTTACTGTACATCTGATGAACATTATTAAATGTAGAGCAAAAAAACAAAATGAAGCCACCGAAGCTTCCATATGCCCAGGAGCAGTTCAAAGTGTTGCAGTTGCTGGTGCTGACTTGATGAACTGCCCGTACACTCAGGCCTACGATGAGGGTTCCCTTTAATACGCAGTGGCGAAGTCAAATTACCTGAAGGTTTTTAACCATTAAAAATGAAGTGTTCAAGTGAATGTCCTGTGCAACTCTAGTTCGTCATTTCTATGTTACGCTCCATCGGCCTCGCGCCTCTACTGAAAACTACGAGGAAACTTGGCGCGGTTCATGAAGTAAATGGGNACGCTCCATCGGCCTCGCGCCTCTACTGAAAACTACGAGGAAACTTGGCGCGGTTCATGAAGTAAATGGGCTGTGAAGTTACAAAGTGGTGCCTCAACCTTAAGGACACAAGGTAGAACGCCCCAGCAAATTCGAGTGGATTCAAATTATGCCTCATTCAGATTTGGCAAACTGAGTATACCTGGGCAGCTGATGGCAGTCACGGCTCCGTTGTGGGTTGATGTGAAACCAGTGAATACAGTAGTTCGAGTTCAATTTGTTCAGAGGATTTGGTTGGGTGAACAGTTCATGCTTGAGTCAGACATGATGCCACGGACGATTTCAGATGGGTTGTGTGGATGGACGTGCAGACCCCGTCAAGCACGCATTCAACCGAGAGCCTCTTTGGCTTCCCTCAACTCCAAATTGATATTCACATTTCAACTTTGCTTAAAGGGAAAAGCAAAATGATGTTTTTTCCAAGAGTTTAAGTGCAAGGACCAGTAGCATCGCCATGCAGTCGGCGGTGCCTTGGCGGCGTCCGCATGCTCCGTACGAGACCTGAAGTAACATTCCACGGTTGATGTATTACTAATTACATCTTATGAGCAATTAAATCCCTCTTCAAAATGGGCTAAATGTACCTTCTGAATTAGTGTGGAAGCGAGGGTGCCGGAATAGCCCTTAGAGTGCTAGTTGTTTTGTACCTTCTGTGTCTGGCTTTCTACAAACGTTTGACTATCCGATCCATGGAAGGCATCCTCTCTTTCTTGCGCAAATGAAGTTATACTCGATTCCTGCTGCTGTACTTTTATAACCACTCAGTAAGCCGTGTGCTTGGCTCGTGTAATGCCCACCAAAGGCTGCCAGGCTGTAGAATTGCATTGCCCACCCGCCGACGGGTGCCCTTTTGCTGAATGCGCCGACGCAGTTGTGAGATAAATAAGTCGTCTCAGGGGATGGCATCTCGCCTAGCCATGTTTCAAATGCTTGGTGGGCACATTGCTTTTCGTGGTATTGCATTGGCAAGCGGGTGATGGTGTTGTACTGCGCACTTCACACGCACACCAGGCACACGAAATTCTTTGCTTATCATCTGTTTGAAGATGTATAATGGAGATGACCGAGACGCTCTTCTCTTTGGCTCAATCAGCAGCCAGGCCTCTTCTGAAGCGGGTGGTGCTGCTCCTACGGGAACTGCACAGCTGACTACAGAGGCTCGGCTCTTCCCCGAGAACCAGCCACCCGCCCGTCTGACTGTACACTGCAGGGGTGACAACGCATTAGACAAGGCGTTAGAGAGCGAACCATCGCTAAAGCGGAGCGGAGTGCAGGAGCAGCAGCCTGCCCGCCGTCAACGTCACATTTCTTTGTTTGCCTCAATCGAGCTGACCCGTCCGAAGGTGCCCCTGCCTGGTAATGGAGAAGCCGGTCCCTTCTTCCTTGCCAGCGAGCCATCTCATCAAGTTACTGCTTTGGCTGTGACGGAGCAGAAGAATCCTCTGTCAGCAACGCCGGCAGTCGATGGCGTTGCCGCAAGCCGTTGCCAAGCCCCAAAGAGCGCAGTGTCCTCACTGCGCCCGAAGGAGCGAGAAGGCCCGTCACTTCTGGCTGAGAGGAAAGACGAAAATGTCTTCACTCTTCAGCAGTGCGATGGCGCGTGCTCCAATCCATTGCGCTGCGGTCCCGTTAATAACGGAGAGCTCTCGCCGAGTTTCAAATCTGTAGAGGGACTCCTCGCGCTCCCGCGTCTGGGGAATATTGACGCCCAAAGCTTCGTGGCTCAGGAACTGCAGGAGGTGGGCAGATCATGACAGTCTTGCTTCCTGGTTCAGTACCACCCGACTCGTGGGCATTGACGGGGTCTTCCGTGTACCTCTTATTCCTTATTACTTTTTAAATGTATACTGTCGATGATATAGATTTGTAAACTCCAGTCTTTACATCCGCTGTAACTCCCCGCCTTCCCTGTTTAAGGAACATTCTCCAATGGGCATTTGCTTCTTACATGCTCCTTACGCTTATCCTTGTTTTTCTTCATGCCTCTAATGTCTGACACTCCTCACCGTGCTCCCTTTTCATTCAAATTCGGCTCATCTCCGCATGT